TATATTAAATGTACCGTACTGTAGAGCTTCCGACATCAAATCCAACATGATCTGCTCCGACGTGTTATCCTTCTTCACTGAAACCAAAGGTATTTTTTTAATTAGCATCTTAAAATTGGTTATTTTTCCTTTTCTTTCACAGTTTTCTGAATTTCTATCATTAAATTTGATTTTATTTCGGAGCCATTTTTAAAAATTTTCCTATACTTTTAATCTCAGTGGAGCCGCTCTACATAGACGATTTGGAGAATGTTTTAGAGGAAGGTTTGCTTAGCCTTAATACTTTAGTTGAAGATGGTAGCATTGAGGAGGTATTTTCAATCCTTGATTTTGTTCTTGGTTCCAACTCAGGATTTTTATGTCATTTCAGTATTTTTTGTTTAATTCTAATAAATATTTAAAACTAAAAACCATCAAAATTGTGCCTTAATTATTATTTTAATCGAACTTTGTAATTTGTTCTTCACGCGATTTTGTCCCTATAGCTCATTGTGAACTTCTATATTTTTTTTATTAAGGTGGTGTTTGTTTTTACTAAGGTAAAAGGTTTGTAGTCTGCGGACCACATCTGTAGCAGAATAGATAGACCAAAAGTCTACAGTCTACAAGAAGAAGAATGTTTGTTTTTTAACGTCTGAAGACTGCTAAAATGAACTGAAACATAAATAAACTGATTTTTTAAACTTAAAAGAGTTTTCTAATACTGAGATTTAAATAATTTTAGTTTTACAATACTGAAATTAATCCATACAACTACAATAATAAATTATTTAAAATAAATCAATTCATATTTTAAAATAAATCAATACATACTAATAAATTATTTAAAATAAATCAATCCATACAACTACAATAATAAATCAATCCATATTTTAAAATAAATCAATCCATATTAATAAATTATTTAAAATAAATCAATTCATATTTTAAAATAAATCAATCCATACTAATAAATTATTTAAAATAAATCAATCCATACTAATAAATTATTTAAAATAAATCAATCCATGCAACTACAATAATAAATCAATCCATATTTTAAAATAAATCAATCCATACTAATAAATTATTTAAAATAAATCAATCCATATTTTAAAATAAATCAATCCATACTAATAAATTATTTAAAATAAATCAATTCATACAACTACAATAATAAATCAATCCATATTTTAAAATAAATCAATCTATACTAATAAATTATTTAAAATAAATCAATCCATATTTTAAAATAAATCAATCCATACTAATAAATTATTTTAAATAAATTATTTTAAAATAAATCAATCCATATTTTATAATAATTTATTTTAAAATAATTTATTTTATAATAAATTATTTTAAAATAAATAACCGTATTAAATTATTTTAATAAATAACCATATTTTATAATTGTTCTTGAAGAGGTTTGAAGACATAAAATCATGTCTGCACCAAGAAAAACTCGCGCAGACGTTAGAAGAGCTTCTGTCTTCTAAAAAACAAACGGTCTGCGAAGCCTAATGTCTGCGCGTGGTCTGCGTGGCGTAGACATAAGAGGTTTGAAGAGGTGGAACAGTGAAAACAAACAATGGCTAAGGTGGTGTTTATTTTTGAAGAGGTAAAAGGTCTGCAGTCTGCGGACCACATCTGCAGAAGAGGTGGACCAAAAGTCTGCAGTCTGCAAAAAAAAGACTGTTTGTTTTTTAACGTCTGCAAACTGCTAAAATAAACTGAAATATAAAATAAACTGATTTTTTAAATTTAAAAAGTTTTGCAATACTGAAATTTAAATAATTTTAGTTTTATAATACTAAAATTTAAATAATCCATACAACTACAATAATATTTTTTTTAAATAAATCAATTTATATTTTAAAATAAATCAATCTATATTTTAAAATAAATCAATCCATATTTTAAAATAAAATTTTCCATATTTTAAAATAAATCAATTCATATTTTAAAATAAATTTTTTCATATTTTAAAATAAATCAATCCATATTTTAAAATAAATCAATATATATTTTAAAATAAAATTTTCCATATTTTAAAATAAATCAATCCATATTTTAAAATAAAATTTTTCATATTTTAAAATAAATCAATCCATATTTTAAAATAAAATTTTTCATATTTTAAAATAAATCAATTCATATTTTAAAATAAAAATTTCCATATTTTAAAATAAATAAATCCATATTTTAAAATAAATCAATCCATATTTTTAAAATAAATTTTTTATATTTTAAAATAAATCAATCCATATTTTAAAATAAATCAATCTATATTTTAAAATAAATTTTTCCATATTTTAAAATAAATCAATCCATATTTTAAAATAAACCAATCCATATTTTAAAATAAATTTTTTCATATTTTAAAATAAATCAATTCATATTTTAAAATAAAATTTTTCATATTTTAAAATAAATCAATCCATATTTTAAAACAAATTTTTCCATATTTTAAATTAAATCAATCCATATTTTAAAATAATTTTTTTTCATATTTTAAAATAAATCAATCCGTATTTTAAAATAAATCAATCCATGTTTTAAAATTAATCAATATATATTTTAAAATAGATTTAAATGATTTTAATTTTCCCGCAGACCTTTGAAGACATAAAATCATGTCTGCACCAAGAAGAGCTCGCGCAAACGTTTGAAGAGCATCTGTCTTCTAAAAAACAAACGGTCTGCGAAGCCTAATGTCTGCGCGTGGTCTGCGCGGTGCAAACATAAGAGGTTTGAAGAGGTCGTGGGATCGAGTCACACGGAGGGCATTTCATAATTTGGAGGTCTTCTACGGAAGCTGCTCTCAACCTGATGTTGGGGGCAGCCTACTATATTACCTCCCCTTACTCCATTACATATGAGAACAAGGGACAACCATTTTACAGTTTTGAGTTACATCACTTTGAAGTATTCTTTTTGGTGCTTTAGCATTTATCTGTACATTTTTTGCTCTAAGTCTTTTTTTGTTGTTGTTGAACTACCCGTATTTGGTACTCTTGTTTTTCTCATACCTGAATTTATTTATGAGAATGATCCTCCAAATATATGGAAAAAACTTAAAACAAAGAGAGAAAAAATTTGAATGTACCCATGTGGATGTACTCCTACAGAGACAGAGGTATGTAGAGAGTGGGAAGGGCATTTGCCCCTCCCAAAATTTCTGGTTTAATGACATTTTAGGTACCTATCTGTTTAAGGCTTTTTCTCCCCTCCAATTTTTGAGATTAAATACTTAATGAGTCCTTAATTTTTTGAATTTAGGCAATTTGCCCCTTCCCATATTTGATCCTAGCTCTATCAATGTACTACACTTGTAGATTCCAAAAACTTTAATATGTGCTTGCTTTTGTTAGTCGTGCAATTTTTAATTGTTATTTACCCTAAATAACCATGTTCAATGCATCTTGGATACTTAATACATGATAATTACTTGTGTCCAACACCTGGATCCCGAGGTCATGAAACACGGCAAATGGTATTAGAATTCTTTTAGAAGGATTGGGTTTGAGCTTTTTATTACCTCACAATAAATATTATATTACCAGGACTTGTTACAGGTAGCAGAGAAGTTAATGATTACGCACGAAGAATGTTTGGAAGGTAATTATCAATCTGTTGAAAAATTGAGGACTTCTACAAATCCTCCACCAGTCACTCATGTCAAACCGATAATTTCTAGTTATTCAAACCCTTTTGCAGACACGTTTTGTAGAAGATAATATACTACATGATACTGTTTCTATTGATTTTTGCTTCTGTTTATCCTTGCTTCTTTCATAGGTTTTGTTTCAATGATCTGTATAGCTGTGTTGGTATGTCGAAGATAATATACTATATTCTACTGTCTCTATAGGATTTTAATTTTGTTTATCGATGTTTTTGTTTTTGATGCTTCAAATAGCGGTGTTATCATATCAGGAAAGTCTCATCCCATTAGTCATCTGGGATAGAATTCCTGGATTTTTTCCAAACTCTCAAGGGTCAGGGGCGTGGGATACCCATTATTGTATGATCTGAAACTGAAAGGTTTACACTGTATACTGCCGAACCTCCAGGGCAAATTAATGTTCTTTGAGTTTGAATAGAATGGCATCTCACAAAATGGTAACTTCATTTGGATGGTGGATTCCTTGCTAATCACTTGGTATTATTGTAGACGTATAATTTGAGCGTTGAAATAGTATGCTGAGGACGATGAAGATGATTGCATGGATGGGGACAAGGCAGCTACTATGACGGCAGATGTACCAAACTCTCGAACAAGTTTGAATCCAGCTGGCATGCCCATAGACGAGCCAAAGCCAAGCCAGGCAGCTGATGCAGAAGATGGTGGGTAGTAGTCTCATCTAGAAGAAACAAAGGTGGAAAGAATTAGATTTACATTATTTCGCATCTTTAATTTTTCTTAACGTATTCGTGTTTATAAAATCGGCTCGACTCATCTTCCAAAACATATGAGAAAATTGAATACAATTGTATCTGTCACTCGATTTTTCGAGTCTTGTAATATTTTCTGTTACCCCAATTTCAAGCTTCAGGAACATAGAATTGCAACTTCCAAATATGAATTCAAGGAATCAAGCTACAGTTCCAAAGATGAATTCAATTCTTTTAGATTATGACATGACAGTAAACACTCAATTTAGATGTTAGTTCGAGATAAAAGATAAAAATGCTACGAGCATTTAAGTACAATAAATTTGAGTAATTAAACTCGTTTAAAGCATCTATTGTATTAATTGCCTCAAAACTACAAACCTAACCCTGCATACTAGTACTACTATTCTAGACATATATATATATATTGCAACTAAACTCGTCAGTAACATTGAAGACCGAATGTTGCTTTATTCATATAGTCCAATTGCCCACGAGTGACGTGGATCAGACTTCTACGCGCGCTAAGCCAAGCCTTCCCATTGCAGATGATATTAATAACAAATAAAATAAACAAGAAAATAAACGCGAGAAAGTCATAACAATTACAGATGATATTAATAACAAATAAATTAAACGTGAAAATAAACCCAGAAAGTGAGGGAAACTGCGAGAAAGTGAAGAAGATCGGAGGAAAAGAAACAACAAAAAGAAATAAAAATGAAGCACATTTTTAAGAAGCTGCACATCGGAAGCAACCACGAGGCTAATCGAACTTCGATAAATGAGACGTTACCTTCGCCGTCATGCGCCAGCGATCATCAACGTACGATGTCCGGGATTTCTTTGGAGAGTCCTTCAACAACAACGTCGTCACCATCTCCGGTGACCACGACGATGCTGCCGGTGTCGTCGAGCATGGGGCTGAGTAGGACTCCAGCAACGGCGGAAGCTACGAATCGAGCGTCGGATTATCTGTTATTTGAGGAAGAGTTTCAGGTACAGTTAGCCCTAGCGATCAGTGCTTCGAATTCTGAAGACCCAGAGAAGGATCAGATCCGAGCAGCGACGCTTTTGAGCGTAGGGAGTCATCACTTGATGGGTTTAGGGTTAGGGACCTATAAGGGTAACGCATCAGGTGAGGCTTTGGCCAGGCAATATTGGGTAAGTGTTTTTACTTTTTGGTTTGTAATCATTATGATTGTGGATGTAATTGAGTTTCGGTTAATTGAGCTTGAATTTTTAGTGTTTTAGTTGTTATAATGATTAATTTTTGGATTGTTTGATTAGAGAAAATTGTTCAACTGAATTTTAGCGGAAAAAGGTTGGATTTATTGCGCTTTTACTAGAAAATGGTAGTGAATATTGATTTTTATTATTTTATTGGAATAGATTGTAGGTTTATTATTGAAAGTGGTGAAGTAGGGGAAATTGTAGTCAATAAGCTTCTATATGGGGTTCTTTTCTTCTTGTTATATTGGTGGTATTGACTGTGGTGATCAAGGCAAGTTGCTGCTGAACGAAGTAGAAGAGTAAAAATGATATAAAAAATTATTGTGGAGCTTTGCTTCTAGCAAAATTCTGGTGGGAAAAATGATTTGGACTGACCGATTCTTCCATTCGTAACTTATCCTGCAATTTCTCGAGTTATTTGATTGGACTAACTGTTCTGGGGTTTTTTATTCATCAGGCATACAGTGTACTTGATTATGGGGAAAGGGTGGTGGATGGTTTTTATGATGTATATGGTCTCTCCACTGATTCAGGAATTCAAGGAAAAATGCCATCTCTTGCTGACCTTGAAACAAATCCTGGGAATTCTGGCTTTGAAGTTATAATTGTGAATAGAACATTTGACCCAGCCCTAGAAGAGTTGTTGCAAATTGTGCACTGTATTGCATTAGATTGCCCTGCTACCAATGTTGCTGTTTTAGTTCAAAGGCTTGCTGAACTTGTAACAGGACATATGGGTGGACCTGTTAAAGATGCTAATATAATTTTGGCCAAGTGGATGGAAAAAAGCACAGAGCTCAGAACATCTATTCACACAAGTGTGTTGCCTATTGGGTCCATAAATATAGGCCTTTCTCGGCATCGTGCTTTACTCTTCAAGGTTAGTTTCTTTTTTGGTACTGACTTCGGACTTCATTTTAACATAGTTAAACCAACTATGCCTAGAATCAAAATTTGATTTTAAAACAGTCATGGTTTTTCTGACATATTTCTGCTTTTTCTGAGCAATTTTTTAAGGGATAATCCCTTGAATTCTTGTGGTGGATGGGATTAGAATCTCTTCTCTGAAGGTCTGCTGCCCTCCATAGGGGATGGCAGACCAACAGTGCTATTCCCCAACTTCTAATATTTAAATGTAAAGTTCTGGAAATAAATTGGCTGTCTTCCTAGACTTTGATTGATGATTATCCTACTGGTTGATTTGATTTGATTCTTTTAGTGATCTTTCTGAATACTCGTATTCGTAAATAGGGTTATATCTAAGGTTTTCATTCATCCACTTTCTGTTCTTTAAATGTAGGTCCTTGCAGATAGCATAAGGTTGCCTTGTAGATTGGTAAAAGGTAGCCACTACACCGGTGTTGAGGATGATGCTGTAAATATAATAAAGTTGGAGGATGAAAGGTTATAGCTTGTGCTTTTTTCTTTACTTACTCTTTTACATTTATTTAGATCTAATATTCTGTTTTTATATCTCAGGGAGTTTTTAGTTGATCTAATGGCAGCTCCTGGTACACTTATACCTGCTGACATTTTAAGTGCAAAAGATACAACTTTTAAGCCAAGCAATCCAGTAATTAGAAGTATCCCAACCCTTCAGTTGTCTGATGATGAATACTCTAAAGTGAAGCCACTAAACGGTGAAGGCAGTAGTCAACATACTCTGACCAACAGTAGACTTCCCTTCAATAGGGGGTTGAATTCTGGAAGGGCAGAATCATCGTCTTCATTATCTGGTACAAATGGTGATTCTGGTGTTGGTTCTTCCAGATTATCTAACAGAGTGACCTGTAATCGGTTGGACCATCTCCCATCTACTGCCATTGGATCTTCTGTCTATAAGCGTGGTCGTGGTGGCAATGTAGTTGGTGATGGCCTGAGGATGAATGTCAATGTAGTGCCTTATGGCCAGAGTAGTCAAGATGACCCAAAAAATCTTTTTGCTGATCTTAATCCATTCCAGATAAAAGGTAGAGGAAAAACATCCCAGCTGAATGGACCTACCGAGTCCAAAATTGATGAGATTCAGAGACAGAGAAATAATGTAGTTGTGGGGCGACCCCCAGCACCATTGATGTGGAAGAATCGACCTGCTTATAACGAGGTTCCTCAGAAAAAGGAGTATGGTTATATGCAGGGCCTCTTTCCGAAAACTACTCTTGAACCTAATGATTTTAATCACTCATTGTCATCTTCAACTAGCTCTTCCAAACCTGAAACGGTCCATCCTCATGGTTTTAAGTCACATGTTGATTTTGATGTATCAGGCAGAGATAATAAAATCAGGAATTCTCTGGCTGGTACTAGCTCATCTTTGGCATCCTCTGCCAGTCAGTTCAATAGCTCACAACTGGCTGAGGATGCAAGCACTAAATTTAAGGGAGGTAATCTCATGAGTAATGGGCATGATTTACAAAATAGCAGCAAGGATTTGGCTAAACAGCAAGATAATGTCACTGATTTCCGCAATAATAGAAAGTACACCGAGGATAGATATATGGGGAATAATCTCAAACCAAAGGATCTGGAAATTCTCGGCTCATCACTAGATTGTGGTACAGGAAGGGTTGATCTACTATTTGATGATACAGATGTAGGCGAATGTGAAATTCCATGGGAAGACTTGGATGTTGGTGAAAGAATTGGACTAGGTAAGGAATATGACTCATTGAAGTTCATTTCATATGAAATTTTTCTAGTTAGCAAGGGTCCGTTTTTTTACTCTGTTAGCCATGCTTTTTGTCTGTGATTTTGGAACTTTCTCCCTCTTTTTTATATTCAAGAGCACCTGTTATTCATCATGATTTGTGAAAACCTTGAGAGGTTAAATTCAGTGAGGTATTCTGATGCTTGCTTTGCAAGAACTTTTACCTTTTCTTAGGAAGCTCTCTAATTCTTATTAAATTTATTTTCTTGTGAGTAGGTTCCTATGGTGAGGTCTACCATGCTGACTGGAATGGCACGGTTAGTATATACCCTTTTTATGCTTCAGGCTATCACAGTTTTATCTTGTCTGTGACTTTGTGCTGTCTCTATTTAGCATAAAGGAATTAGGTTTTGAGCTACCAATTTAATTGTTTGCCAAAGGCATCATGGTGAGAACTATTGGCCCTGTTTTAAACTGAGCCATGAAATCTACCTTTTATAAATGATATTTGCACTAATCAGTTAAGAGTTCTTTGGAAACAGAAAAAGAAAAAAAAATAGTTTCTAATTTTGTGGGTGGTAATGGTTATTGAATTACAGGAGGTTGCAGTGAAAAAGTTCCTAGATCAGGATTTTTCAGGTGCTGCTTTGGATGAGTTCAAAAGAGAAGTAAGCAACTTTTAATCTTTTATTTCTTTATCGAAGTGATAGTAAAATGTTCTTTCTGATATTTTGGTTCTTTCTTTCATTTAAATAATTCTGTACAAACTTCAGATAAACATCCATATGCTTAAATCAAGGCAGTTAAATAATCACTGATCCTGAGTTTTGTTTTTCTCTTTAATTTAAGGTGCGAATAATGCGTAGACTGCGTCATCCAAATGTTGTTCTTTTTGTGGGTTCTGTTACTCGTCCTCCCCACCTCTCTATCATTACCGAGTTTCTTCCAAGGTAAGCGCTTGTTCCAGCATATTGTCATCTTGTCATCTTATTGAATTATGCAAAGTAATACAGATGCAATTTCAGGTTGTCAGTTGCCAACATGCACATTTATTCATGTTTCCTTTCACATGATCTTTGATGTTCTAAGTCGTGCAAATGTTTTTTTGGCATTCTAGGAGAAGCTTATTTAAGATTCTCCATCGTCCGCATTCTCAAATTGATGAGAAGCGTAGAATTAAGATGGCCCTTGATGTGGTATGGAATCATTTGCTTCTGCAATTCTTTTGTGAAGAATGTGACAACCACATAAAATGTCAAATTTGCTTTCATTTTGCAGGCGAGAGGCATGAATTGCCTACACTCCAGTACACCTACCATTGTGCACCGTGATTTAAAGTCTCCTAATCTTTTAGTTGACAAAAACTGGAGTGTGAAGGTAAATAATTTTTCAATGTTTTTAGATATTTTGCTTCTAAATGTTTCTAACTTCTACACTTTTAAATGTACTTAAAAAAAACCACATTGTCAATCTCGCTGTAAGCCTGTAATGATTGCAAAATCTTGGGATTGATTGTCTGAGTTAAAATATCTGACCTGACATTTGACTTCATTCTTACACTCTTGCTCAATACGTAAGAGTCTTATCCCTTAGTAGAATTATATAATTTCACCAGCTTTAAACTGCTTAAGAATAAAGCCTTTCAAAGAAGAAGGGAACACGAGCGTGCATCTTTTTCATTTACCTTTTTGTTGTTTTCCTATGTAGCTGGTTTGTTATGTATTGATGTGTTACTATTCATGTTTTAATTGCCCGGGAATCAAAAACTAACCTTATCATTATAAGGAAACGAATAAGAATTGAAGAATGACTACTGTGAAATTCTTGCAATGCACCCTCTGATCAATTGTGAAACTTGACCATGCAGGTCTGTGATTTTGGGTTGTCACGATTGAAGCATAATACCTTTCTATCATCAAAATCAACAGCAGGAACAGTCAGTATCTTGGCCTATGTCAAAATATTTCATAAATTCTAAATATATAGATAGCTTCTGTTATGTAGATATTTTCTGGATGCATCTGATTTAGTTCTGTCTTATGTTCAAGCCTGAGTGGATGGCACCGGAAGTACTTCGCAATGAGCCCTCAAATGAGAAGTGAGTTATTTATCTTCTATATCTTAGATTATAAGATTGCCCAGTCCACTAGTATTCTACTCTGGTTGCTTAATTTTCCTTTGCGTTTAAATTACTTCTTTATCTAGCAGTTCAGAACTCATGGGAAAAGTTGTCAGCGCCACTCTCATATAATTGCATATGTGCATTAACGTTTAGTCTCTATGCAAAAAGGTTTTTCTAATTACAACTCACCGTTATTGATGACTATGGTTAAAAGTGGCTGCATTTTGCTGGCAGAAACTCATGGATTTTGAAGCTACTGAATTGGTAAAATAACCAAAGCTTAATACTCGCATGCTAATTTTGTTGTATGTATAGATGCGACGTTTATAGTTTTGGAGTCATTCTTTGGGAACTTGCTACTCAGAGATTGCCTTGGAGCGGCATGAATCCAATGCAAGTCGTTGGTGCTGTTGGTTTCCAGAACCGTCGGCTCGACATTCCGGAGGAACTCGATCCATTGGTTGCAAGGATAATTTGGGAATGCTGGCAGACGTTAGTAAAACACAAATTTGGAATTCTACAGTTTTAGTTATATTCTTTTTTAGATATGTAGTCTAATTATTACCCCATTGTTTCCAGTGATCCGAATTTGCGGCCTTCGTTCGCGGAACTCACGGTTGCTATAAAGCCATTGCAGCGGTTTGTTATTCCGCCGCATCAGGACCAGTCAAGCTCACCCCTGACACAAGATATTTCAGTAAATTCTACACCCTGAAACGAAAATTTGCAAGTTCCTCAGTTGTGAATAAGAAACATGTTCCTTTCCCTTAAATGAGGGTAATGTATTGTTAATTTTTCATTTAAAAAAGGAGAAAAAGTAAAGCAAAGTAAAAAAAAAAACTTTTTTGTGTTTATATATATTGTTGCTCTGCTGCCAGAAAAAAAAGCAGTTTTTGTGCAGAGAAAAACTTTCGTAATGTATATTAAAAAAAAATCTATAAAAACAAAGAAAGAGTTGCCATTCATGATTCATGACTAAATTCTAGTAGGAAATTTTTTTAGTTCCGTCGTGTTACATTTTGGAATTTAGTCTAACGAGAAAGGACTGAAAAGGACAGGATATATATATAATTTTAAGAGTTTAGGATTTAGGGTCATGATTAGTTAAATTTTTACACATGATATAAATTAAATAAATTTTTTTATATTTTTATCTTATTTGAATTTTTTAACACAATAATCGAACTCGCAATTTAAGAAAAACTAATACGGCATATTCCACATATTGGACATTAAAACATACGAGAACTTATTGGTCTAATGGTCTTTTTCATAGAGGAAGCTCTAACGGCTTAGCTATGACACCCATCAGGAAAATCAGAGGAAAAAAAACTGTATAAAACGAAATCTCTTAATTTGCCTTTAAGAAATGCATATTTCCTTAACAAGCCTTCCTTTTGAAACCCTGCCTTTTCAACAACCCTTTGAGAAGCCAAATTGTCCACGTCCACAAATGCTTCAAGCCTCACCACTTGTGGGAAATCAAGAAAGAATTGAGACACTGCTAGTTTCGTTGCTTTAGTCGCAATCCCATGTCCCCAATGCCTGACCGCAACGCCAAATCCAAAATTGGCCTTATACTTGTCTTCATCGCCTGAGAACGGAAAGATCGAAGCGAACCCGATCATCAATGCATATCGATCGACGCCATGAATGGGGAATACATACATCCTTGATGTGATCCAAAGCTTCTTGCTTTGAAGCCATTGTTTTCCATCTCAGGTTTCCGGTGAACTGATCGTCGCCTGCGAATAAGAGGAAATCATCGGCGTCTTCTAGCTTGAATGGGCGAAGAGTTATCTTTGACAAGTCAGTTTCCATCTTGAACTAAATTGTTAAGGTGATAGAAGGTTTTATTTAACTTGAGGAAATTATATTAACTAAAGCTGCGTCATATTATATTATATTGTATTATAAGAGTGATCCAGAGCAGGTGAATTTGTTGACTTGTGGGAGCAGGTGAGTGGCATCTTATTGTTTAGCTATATTTCTAGGATTGTTGGGGAGGCTGGTTAGTTGTTTCATTTGACTGTGACTGCAGCTCTTTGAATCTGTGCACTCATTGGGTATAGGAAAAAATGCTAGAATATTATGGTCAAAAAAAATTATTCAGTATTTCAAAAATTAATTTTGGAATTAGGGTGATTGTTGTAATAATCAAGAATTACATAACGATTTCTAAAAATTGTATAGACTGCACGGTGATTTCTCGATGTTATTTGCATGCACGGAAGTTACCGTGTAATCTATATGCTTTTCAGAATTTACCATGTAGTCCTGACTAATTCCCCAATTATTATAGCAATCATCCTAATTAATGTATCTTACCTGGACAAACTTTTTTCACCACACTGTACAAGCAATTTTATCGAAAACAATTAGGTGAAACTAGTTGAAAGTTCTCTTTTCCTCTCTGTGGGGGTAGTTTTCAACTTTTCCTCCATTTATTCTGGTTCTAAATTATCAAGTCTGCTGGTAAATAAATGAGATTGTGACAATTCACATCAAATTGAACTGCTTCTCTTCTTTTTCTTCAAGACTCTATTCACATTGATTGGCATACTCTTATAATGATACCAAGAGATTGCATATTTCATGCTACAAATGGATGTCATTATCCAGAATATCAACAGAATTTGATTCTTTAAGCAATTTTCTCAATGTTAGATATTCTTAAAGTCGATATATGAGGTGTGATTAAAAATGAATATGAGAATATGATCTTTCAAGTATGTGGAAAAAAATTGGTGAAGACATGACAATACACGAATTCGAATATGATAGATTGAAGAATTTGAAATGGAATTTTTTATCACTCTAGAGATAAAAGAGAACAATTTCTATTGTTTATATAATTTTTTCTATATAAAGGGAGCTTCAATCCCAACATTTTTTTATAAGGAAACATTCCAGTAGTTTCAAAGTAAAAGCAAGAGCAAATCTTAAGCTAGGCAATGGCTGCGTATGGTGGCTATACATACAACGGCAGCTACACAACCACTGATCAGGTTGCCGACGGAAGGCGAAATCCAATCATGTCTTACGGTACCAAGGATAACACCGATGAATGGCACGTTACGAAATCAGAGATCGTTGTCGAGCAGCTTTGTGTCTATAAATACACACGGAGCAGTAGTAGTCTTATAGTTGTTGAAGCATCGAGGGACTATGGCCATGTTGAAGGTAAGCTGAATTTGGGCTTTTTTCAATCATGTTCGATATAATGCTGATAGTAAATAGGTCTTCAAAGTCCTTTTAAAGTATTGTACATTGGCAACATATATGTATAATGCTAGTTCCATGTAAATACCGGTTATGGTGATCGAAGTGAGTTAAGATTTTTCGGCCGCCGAATCGACCTATACAGCCAGATTCGGCGTCCATTCGTGCACGGGTCTTCATTCAAATCGAGGGAAACGTATTTGTAGATACATAAATTTTTTGAAAGGTCAATAGATCATGTCAGAAAGAGAATACGTAGAGAGTCGTTCGAGTCCAAACATGCGAAAAAGAAGTCATGGAATCCGATCGTTGCATGTACAGCATCGGCCTTGACGGGGTCCGATGAGAGTACATCTACCCTGAAACCGTTGACAACTTGAAGAATTTTGTATCACGTCCAATGGAAAAATCCATCGGAACCAAAACCATTGAAACTGGAGATGCTGCAAGAGAAAAAACAGTGGTTCTGCCTCAAACACCATTGTAAAAGCAACTATAAGAGATTATTGAACTTAAAGTACCCGGTTAACTGTTTCCTACGGAATCAACTATGGTTAATCCACCATTATCTGTGTTTCATACCTGTTTTCAAAACTTTATATAGTTGAGTATTGGTAAAATTAATGATCACTTTCTTTTACAGATTTAAAGAATTATATTTTTATACTCGTGTCCAAAAATGTTATGAAAGAAAAATAGAAGTTAAACAAAGTACCAAACTAAATTGTGAGACGTATTCCATATTCCATTCCTTTGCCACCAAAAAATCTCCTAGGAAAAGCACCGTTATTCCCCATTTTTACTATTGGATTAACAACTAGAAACGAATAAGAAAAAGAAAAATCATTTTAAAATTCCATGAACATGAATTAAGCTGAACAAGTGGTAAAAAGATGTATGTGGGTTAGGTCATAGCTCCATTATTTAATAAATAAAAGAAGAAAAAAATTATATTTAAATCCTTTACGAACCCATCAAGTGACCATAGTGGTATGATAGAATATTATTCTCTCTAAAGATCCTGGATTCGAGTAGATACGCATGCAAGATATATGTGCGTTGTCAATTGACTTCCATAAATGAAATTAATGAGGGTTCCACGCCTTACTTTATACCATCTCAAGAGTCACCTTCAGGTAAGTTTTCTCTAAATCATCAACAAATTTGTGTGCATAAAATTTACAGGGCATGATTGCATGAAATTTTTATTGTCTCCACGGGTTTCGACTTGCCTCATTCTCCACTAAATCTTTCCGATCAGTCCGAACTCAGAACTGCCACAATGTCACTGGTGGTTCCCATCTTGCCACACTTTAGAATCCAGTAACCTAAATCTTTTACAATTGCTAAGTAAATTCTCACATATTGGTTGTAGAAGTACATGCTTAGTAAAAATCCCCATGGACAAGTTAACCGTGGTAGTAACAGAACAGATAAGATAACAGTGATCCTCTTTTGGTCCCGTTAAGTTTTCGGCTTATGTTACTCGGATTCGGGTGTAAATGTTATCTGTATGGCATGGATAAATTTAATTTTACTATGATTTCTATGTATTTGGAGGGACTTTGTAGGATCAATTTTTTAACTCAATGGATATAGGTGCGGTGGCAATAGCTGCAGCAGACAAAATGTCTGAGGCAAATGGGATCATTCAAATGAATAACTTAACTGTTGGACCTCATACAAAAAAGTAATAACAATACTTTCTTTTAATGGTTTTTCATTTTAATCATCCATATAGTTCTTCATATACTGATTTTGGTGTTCATAAAATGATCCAGAGGCTTGCAAATCAAGGAAGCATTGTGAATGCAAATCGAAGTCCAGAGACGTCTGCATGAACAGCTCAAGGTGCAGCAACATTTACAGCTTCGGATCGAGGCTCAAGGGAAGCACTTTCAGTCAGTGGCAGAGAAAGCTCAACTCAAGTGACTCTTGGAAGACAAAACAAGAATTCCATTGGAGAAATGATAGAGATGCGATAGTGAATGAATGAATGTTGCTCTTGTTGAATAATCAAACCTAGAAAGTTTTAGACTCGAATAAAGAATAAGAGAAGGAGAATGTATGCTGACGGAAGCAATTAGGGTTTAAGGGAGTTTAAGTTTGCTGGAAAATTGGACAAAAGAAGTAAGATGAAGACAATAAAGATAGAGTAAAAGATAATGAAATAAAACGAAGACAACGAATGTAATAAAATAGGAATAACTTAGCCAAAATTAGAGTTTTGGTGGTGATGGGCGATAATGGTGATTTGACGATGAAGATGGTGATGATGATAATTGATGGATAATTATCCTACGAACCCTCTTAATCGTAATTGATTAGACAAACTCGATAATCAACTCTAATCAGCCCTCCTAATCCCAATGAAGAGGCAAACCAGAGTGTGAAGATCTCTTTCACAAAGAACATAATGAAAAGAAGCTTCAAAAGCACAAGTAATCAACACTTGCAAAGATAAACTCTCAATATATTGTATTCAAGAAAAGATGTAATTGCAAAGTTAAATGAAGTCTCCTTTATATAGGAGAG